TTTCTTATTGGCCATCGTGGAAGGGCGGTTGGTTTTCTCTTTTTATCCATTTTTCCTTCTTCAACCCCTTCCCAAGGCCTGTTCAGGGGATTCAGGGAACAGTTCTTTCAAATCTCTTTCCTGCCACTTTCCAGGGTCTTCTGTTCAGCACCCAGCATGCACTATTTAATGATGCCCTTGACTGATGGATGCCAAGGTCCAGCAGTTCCGAGAGACTCTTCACCGCATTGGGCTGTCACATACAACTACACACAGTGTTCATCAGCTTTCCAAACACACAAGAGAAATCAGCCTAGCAAGAAAAAAGATTGATTCTGGTTAAGGGTCTCAGAGGTTTCAAGACCAGTTAGCCTGCTGCTTCTGGACCTGTGCGAGGTAGTGCATCTTAACGAGAGTGTGTGTTTAAAGGAAGTTGCTTACCTTGTATTGGCAGGGAAGCAAAGGAGAGCAGAAGGGGCCGGGTACTTATGTCCCTTCCAAGAACTGTGGCTCCTCCAGTGAATCTCCGCCTAAGTCCCAGCCCCTAAAGATCCCACCACCCCCAATAGTGCCATGGCCTAGTGGTCACACTAGATAGTTGTTTGAGGAACATCTCAAATCCAAACTGCAGCAATAGAGTTGTGTAGTGAGCAATTGTCAACATATTTTTAGCTTAAAATCCTTGGGATATATTAAGAAACCTAATTTGAGCCAGGCGGTGGTGGAACATACCTTTTGTCCCAGCACTTGGGAAGCAGAAGCAGGCAGATGTCTTTGAGTTCAAGGCCAACCTAATCTACAGAGTAAGTTCCAGGACAGGCTCAAAGGCTACACAGAGAAACCCTGTCTTAAAAAACAACAAAAAATTAATTTGCGTATTGTGATATATTCTTATAATCCCAGCCTTTAGGGCTGCCACAAGAAGGTCAGGAACTCAAGGCTAACCTGAGCTATGTGGCCAGATCATTACACCATTCCAAAATGTAATAACAGGGCTTGGAATATGGCTCAGTTGGTTGAGTGATTGCTTGGCATACACAGGGCTCTGAGTTCAGTGTTCAGCACTGGGTGGCTCAAATCTGTAATCCCAGAACTTGGAAGGTCTGAGTCACTCTCAGCTGTATGGTAAGTTCAAGGTCAGCCTGGGCTACAGAAGACTCTCTGTCTCTCTCTCTGTCTCTGTCTCTCTGTCTCTCTCTCTCTCTCACACACACACACACACACACATGCACAAAATAAATAAGCAAAAAGAAAATTAGTAAAACTAACCAGAGAGTCAGTGGTGTTGGTGCACATTTACAATTCTAGCATTTGGCACATGAAGCCAGAAGGAACAGGCATTCAAGGTCATGTTTGACTACATATCACACTTGCAACCAGCCTGGGATACATGAGACTCTGTTTCAAAAAACCAGAAACAAAAGCTTCCCCAGAGGGAAATCCCCAGCCACATCGAGGAACATTCAGAAATTGGGTAGCTGTTGTAGGAGACCCATTCAGACTACTCTAACAAAACACCATAGATAAGAACACAAGTTTCACAATAATAATAAGCAAATAAACCAAGTTTTCTTTTTTCCCCTTAAACCCACACATTTATCTCCCACAGTCCTAGAAATTAGGTACTCCAAAATACAGGCTCCTGAGATCCGGTGTCTGGTGAGGGCCACTTCCTGGCTTATAGATGGCGCTGTCTAGCTAAGTCTGACATCTTGAAGGAAGGAGGACTCTCCATGGGACCCCAGTCATAAGTAAGAATTCCAATCCTATTTTGTTGTTATGTTTTCTCTGTGTAGCTCTGACTGTCCTGGAACTTGCTCTGTAGACCAGGCTGACCTTGAACTCATAGAGATACACCTACCTCTACTGGGATTACAGACATGCACCACCACCACCACCCAGCTCTCTTATTTTTTTCTAAATTAATACAAATTATGTTTTGTTGCAAATTTCTAAAAACCATGGGAAATTTTTTAATGTAATATAATCTAACTACCCAAAATTCTATTTATAATTTTGAAGTTATTATATCTAATTTAATACCTGAGGCTTCTAAAGCACATGGGAATAACTGAGACTCATTAATTAGAGTTTCTATGGGTCAAATCAAAGCATAAAGGTATAGAGAAGTCATTCATATACATTCAAACCATACACACTCTGTGTAGATCACCAGTGAGAGGTTTGGGAGCGATTCACAGCACTCGTGCAAGCACATGCACACCCACGAACGTGCACACACCGCGCGCGAGCACACACACATACACACTAAACGTAGTTTAAAAATTAGAAGATGAGAATGTAAGATGTAGGCCTAAACTGGCTCTTGGAGATGATTGTTTTCTATTCTAGTGTCCTCAGAAGGACACAGACCCTATAGAAACTGTAGGTCTATTGAAGTCACATGCTTCCTGCTTCTCTCTGACCTTGTGTATGATGGCACTATTTTCTCAAATGTGCTTGCGTGTCTTTGCACCGATAGTGATATCTGGGCCCCTTTTCACCTGAGGAAGCCACAGATAGTCTTCTACAAGACACTTTCACTCTTGTGCTGGATCTGGGGCCCCACCTACTGGTTATTGGGGAGGGAAACTTGGTACTAGGTTGAAGATCAAGTTGCAGAAGTCCTTTATTGTCATTTCTGGCTGTGAGCCAGCTGAATCTTTGTGGGTATTTTCTTCATAGGACATTTGAAAAGACCTAGGAGTCACAGTTGACTTAACCATTTGTGATGGTCTCGTGGCAATGGGCAGAAAACTAAAAAACTAACTCCAAATAAAACCATTTAATCCTGGAGAGACCCAACCCCAAACTGCATTACAGGGGATGAAATAAACCAACCTAATATCGTCGTCGTCGTCGTCTTTTTGTTTATTTGTTTTTGTTTGAGACAGGTCTCACTGTGTAGCTCTGGCTGGTCTGGAATTTACTATGTAAACCAGGCTGGCCTGGAACTCACAGAGATCCATTTGCCTTTGTCTTCCGGGTGCTGGAATTAAAGGCGTGTTCCACCATACTTGGCCTAACATCATTGCATTGATGGTTGAAACACATTCTTTTCAGGGAGTTGCTGGGGTTCACCATCCAGTCTGCCCACCTAATCGGTGAGCTCCAGGCTAATGAGAGAGGAAGCACAGTTCTTGAGAGTAATACCAGAGGTTACCCTCTGACCTTTACACACACACACACACACACACACACACACACACACATACACACACACCCAAACACACACACACATGCATGTGTGCACACAGTGTGTGTGTGCGTTCATTACTACACATGCGTTTGAGGGGACAGGAGCACACAGCGTATTAAAGCAGCCAAAAGCAACGCTGTGACCAGGAAGCATTTGCCAGGTCAGGGACCTGTGAGACTGAAGGCCAAGAGTGACAACTTGCCTCAGGAGAAAGCAAGTGAGTGCATCTCATTCAGGGTAACTAGGACTGTGGTAGGACCTGGGAGTGTGTGGGACAGGCCTGTAGACAACAAGAAAACACTCAGGGGTTCCACTCAGTATTTGATAGTACAGGGTCTGGGAGAGGCAGAGCTCATCTAGATGACCTACAGGGCAGATCAGAAACTTTCAAAACAGCACAGAACACCAACTAGCCTTTGTTCTGGCTCCTTTTAGAGCCTCGCTGCTCCAAGAAAGCCTCTCATACAGGTCAGCAAGCCTCCTGGTGCTAGTCATCTGGTGTCTTCTCTAGTGCTCGTAGGTGGAAGCAGCTGTGACAGTTACCTGGGTAACAGGTTAGCAGGGGCCTGGGGAGCTTGAAGGGTCTGCCCATGCGTGGGTTTTGTGGCCTGGATCTGGAGGCTGGGGGGGTGTGTAGGAGAAGAGAACATTCCCTGGGGGTCCTCTACACTGGGGCAGCACGGCACACACCATTGCACGGAGGTTGTGTTAAGTACCTGACCCCGTGCACCTTCAGACTTTCTGAACAACTCCGGCCCAAGCATCCTTATTTCTCCTTTCCAAAAAAAGATTTTGTTACTTTCCCCCAAATCACCCAGCAGGCACCTAGGAAGCCAGGATTCAAACCCAGGCCTGGGTTTAAGACACACTGAGGAAACCTTGGGATGGAGGGATGGAGGGACGGAGGGGTGGAGGGAGAGGTCCAGGGCAGCTAGGGCTACCCATAGCATGTCCCAGGGCATTCCAGAACATCCTAAGGGAACTTTCCCCATTCTGAGGAGGAGGGGTGTGACTTGGAGACCCGAGTCAGAAGCTACAGCCAGTATATGAAACACTTTGGGAGGAATCCCTGGCCTAGCTCTACTCTGAGACTCCTTCCTTGGGTCTCCAAGGGCAGGGGAGAATCCATCCCATACACTGCAGCTGTCTATGACTGGCTGTGCCCATGAAACCGCTTAGCTCCTCTGAGCTCTCCATCTCTGGCCAGCAGTCACAAACTCTGTGCACAGACAGGCAGGCCATCCATCTGGAGACTCCTCCAGCACCTGTCCCAGACTCTCGCGTCCTGTGGTGTCTGTTACAGAGCTCTGGCATCAACAGGTTTAGCCAATAGGTGGAGAAATTTCCCTAGCATTTGCAGTGAGATAGAGCAGGGTGGCTTACTTTTATATAAATAAGTTCAAAGACACAAGCACGTACAAGAAGGGACTTGCTGTGCGGTGAACTCTTCAAAGGCAGGGACTGTCTTGCTGCCCTCCAGCTGTCCCTGTCAACATGAAACCCTGTCTCCGGGCACACAGTGCCACAAAAGCTGTTTGGACTTGTCTGGTGCTCTGAACTTTGACTAGAAACTCGAGGGCATTTGCTAACCGCTTGGTGGCTAAATGTCTGTAAGTGGGGCGTGTGTTGTGTTGTTTTGCTTTCTGATAGAGTGACAGTCCATTCTGTCGCTCACCAACCCCTGAGCTTCCAGCAAGTTCATTGCCTCCCATCCCCACAGTGTCACCCAGTCTCTACCAGATGCTGCCCTGCTTTGACTAGCTTTGTTCTCCTCCCCACCTCAGGCGGGCTCCCAAGGAATCACACAGCAACCGGATGGAGCTAATTTCTCAGTAGCTTTATTGAGTAGCGAGATGAGGCATCATCTTCTGCGGGACACGTGTCCTCAAGCATGTACAAGGAGTGCTTCGGGACAGATTGGCAGACAGGTGGTGGGGCAGGGCAGGTGTCTGCCGCTCTGACGGGTTGAGGGCACCAGGGACAGCTCAGCTCTCCACGGGGTTGGGCTGCATCTGCTCCTGGACTTGCTCGGGGAGGGGGAGGGCCAGGGGCTGGTCTGGGCTCTCCTTCTTCCCTAGGCTGCCCATAAAGGAGCTGACTTTTTCCCTCAGGTTCTTCTCCAGGAAGCTCAAGTGGCCTTGCACGTCCCCCGGATTGGAGCCCAGCTGCTGCCTGAACTGCTCCATCTGCTGCACCAGAGCCTTGTTGAACATCTCCCCCAAGGGCTCCACGGTGCGCCGGAACTCCTCCACCTGCTGGTCCAGCTGGCTGTTCAGGTCTTCCAGAGACTTCTGCAGCCCCTCGGTGTTGCCTCTCAGCTTGCTGTGCACGTCTTCCACCAGCGGGGCCAGTTTCTTCTGCAGCTGGTCGACCTTGGCGGAGACCTTGGTCTGAAGCTCCTCGGCGTTCTTCTTCATCTGGAAGGCCAGGCCCTCCAGCTGGTGGTTGAGTTTCTCCTGCGCACCTTCCGCGAGAGGGGCCAGGCTGCTGCGCAGATCCTCCAGGTTCTGGTCGATGGTGGCCTTCAGCTCGGTCACACGGGGGGTCAGGTGCCCCTTGAGCTCTTCCACATTCTGGTTAAACTTGTCCTTGAACTCGTTGGCATAGGGTGTCATTGAGGCCTGCAGGTTGTCCATGTTCTCCTGGACTGTGGTCTGCATGCGCTGCATGTAGGGGGTCAGCTGGTCCTTCAGTTCCTGGACCTGTGTGTTGACCTTGGCTTGCAGCCCTGTAGCATAGGGCATCAGGTGCTGCTGCAGCTTCTGCACGCTGTCCCCGAATGTCTGGCTCACTGTGTTGGCGTGGGGCATCATGCGGGTACGCAGGTCCTCTAGCTCCCTTTGAATCTCTTCCTTTACCTTTACTGCATCCTTGGTCAGGCGCTCGTTCATTTCTATGGCAAAGGGCAGCAGCTTCTTCTGCAGGTCATCTGCATATGTATTCATGTCCCCAAGTTTGTCCTGGAAGAGGGTGCTTCGGGGAAATGGTGGGGAGAATCGCCATTACACTTGGCATCAGAGACACTTGTAGCACACTCAGCTTTACAAACCTGCCTACGTCAGGAGTGTGTCTGTGGGAACCGAGACCTCCATCTCGTCCCTTTGGCCCTTCCTGGGGTGGGCCATGCTTTCAGGAAATCTACTAGGATTTATGTTACTTTGGGTTTTTATCTGCGAGGTTCCGGCTGAGCCTCAGCACCCTTATCTACCCATCATGTGACTCTTTTCCTTGTGGGTAAAGACTAGGACTGGACTTTAGCTCCCCCCTCCCCAAGCCCGGGGTCACATTGTGCAACTGTACGTCTTCCAGTGGCACAGGGTCTGATGTCCTTGCATGTGCTCGGAGGATCCCCAGACATCTTAACCTCCCTTCCTCTGATTGTGCAGGCACCTGTGCTTCTGGAAATCCCACTTCGTGGGATGTTGTCTCCTTTCTCTTTCTACCACAGACTTATAATGGGATTTGCCTATTTACCAAACTCTACACGAAAATAGGAAGAGACTACAGGATGGATCCCTGGGTTCAACTTCCCTGTGTACAGGAAGGGTCCAGATCCAGAGAAGCCAGATTCCCCTACTGAGGAAGGAAGGATCCTGAGTGCTGGTGTCCCATCTCTAAAGTCAGCTTTGGCTTCAGGAAAGCCTAGCTCTGCAGACCAAGCCCACTTACTTGAGCTGCTGGGTGATGTCTGACTTCTGGACTTGCTCCATAGCCTCCTTGGCGTTGTTGCTCAGCTGAGTGAAGAATTGCCACATCACAGTGGAAACCTGGTCCGCACTGACCTCAGCCCGGGTGCCTGGGCAGAGAACAGCAAGCAAGTCATGAACACGCACCTCTCTCCTGGCCCCTCAGCCTCAGCTATCAGCTCGATGATGCCGGAGTTGGGATAGCGCAACCCATTTCTCCGTCTCTGGGATAGCTCAGGGAGCACAGGAGCCAACAAAGGCAAACCCAAGGCCATCCTGAGTTGCCCACTAGTTCTAAAGCCGGCTTTCCATGCTGCCTTTCATATGTGGCAACAGCTGGAGAGCTGTGTCTACTTACTGGTGATAGCCACCAGGGCCAGGGTCACCACCACAGCCTTCAGGAACATCCTGGGCTCCTCACTGGGCTGCGACAGTCTCGGCTACACTGGATGCTTCCTGGAGTGAGAAGAAACGGTTCGCCTGTGTCGCTGTGGAACTGAGTGCAGGCAGAGCCAGCCCCACATTTAAAGCCCCTCCAGCTCCGTCTCCCCGCCTCCTCCCCAGTGTGACTCCACGTTGGAAGGTGACACACTCCCAGAAGTCTTCTTGGACTTTGGTGACCCTAAGACAACGTGGAAGCTGACGGCACACAGGCAGCAGGGGAAACAGCTTTGTTGGGCTGGCCCCACCCTGTACAGGAGGCTGGGACAGGTAGCCGGGATCTCCAGGAGGAACCAGCCTGGCAGTCAAGGGGAGTCCCTGAGGAGTACTAGGGCCTCGGGGCCCTGCTGGCAGCCCTGGGTCTGTGCCAGGCTGGGGGAACAAACTCCAGGTCTCCTCTACCTCAGTGAGACAGCCCCATCTCTGACAGCTGTCACCAACCCAAACTGTCTCAGAATGCCAGCACCAGGCCCATTCTGGGCTGCATCAAGCAGTGAGCTGCAGCTTAGGTGTCTGGGACCACTCTTGGGCAGGGAAGGATCAGAACCCGGGATTGAAGAGGCTAATCATAAGTGTGCTTTATGTCTCCTGCCTGTCAAGCTGAGTCGCCTCAGTCTAGTTATCTGAAGTCCCAAGCCTCAGTTTCTCCTTTGTATAATTTGTTACATTAAGTTATACAGTCCCTGTGAGATGGGCAGGGTAACCAAGAGTAAGTGCTGGAATAGTAACAAGGACTTTACCTGTGGATCAGAGCTAGGAAGATAGGAGAGAACGGCAGAGGGAGGTCTTTTCCTCAGAGGGTCACCAAGTGGGCTAAAGGTACCACTGAGAGAGTGAGACTGGCTGAGGCTTGATTGCTACCCACTGTCCCCAGTCACAGGCACGAGCCATGCGGAATGGCCACCCTCTCTCTGATAGAAGGTGACAGGCACAGCTGGGGAAAGTGAGTTTTTGATCTCCTACCAAGATTCCAAATGTGTCCACACATTCAGTTGCAGAAGACATCCAGAGAAAAGGTGCCAGACTATGGCCAGTGCGGGGCCTCTGTGGACCACATCAGGGACGTATGATGATGCCCATCATATTGTCCCATTCACTGCCATCCACAAGATATTTGTGAAACAAGAGCCATCAGAATAGACCACAATTGTGCCAGGTCTGATTTGTTGTGTTGCCATCCTTTCTTATTTTTATTTTTGGGTTTTTTTTTGAAACAGGTTTTCTTCTGTGAATTCAACGCTATGTAGGCAGAGACCATGTTATGCTCTTGTTTTTATTCGTTTGATTGTTCTTATATGACCCTGACTGTCCTGGAACTCACTTTGTAGACCAGGCTGACCTCGAACTTACAGAGATCTGCCTGCCTCAGCCTCCCAAGTTCTGGGAATAAAGACGTGCACCACCACTGTCTGGTCACCATCCATTTTTTTAATGTGCCCAAATTGGCTTGTCTCATGGACTGAAGACAGCTAGGTTCCCTCTATACTGCAATGCCCCACATGGTGTCCCCAAGTAGCCAGGAGTGAGGCTTTTTAAAACTTAACTTGTTTATTTACTAATATTTGGTGAGGTAGGTATGCGTGCATCACAGCACACCTGTGGACGTCAGAGGACGACTGAGGATTCCTATTCTCTCCTCCTGCCATGTGGGTTCCAGGGAACTGAATTGATGTCATCAGGCTTCGTGACTTTACCCACTGAGTCATCATGTTGGCCTCTCAGTGTTTTCTGAGTTCCAGCTCTGGAGTCTGACTCTCGAGGCTTGCGTCTGAGCTCTACCTAGTATGTAGTGCGTGGCCTTGGATGAGTCTCATGACCTCTCCGAGTCTCAGCTGTGAAGATTCTGGGAGATAATCTAGCACACAGTAGGTGCTCATTGAATATTAACCATGTTTTTCCTCTAAAGGCTTATCTCTCTGTACCACTGACTCGTTGGTCCCCATCTTGCTCTGCCAAATCAGGCCTGGTCCAGCTTGTGCTGGGCCCAAAGGTCAGAACTGATGGGGGTGAGTCACGTGGGATACCTCAGCTGCAGCTCCACCTCCTTCCTGGACCAGGTGCCACCAGCATGGGACAGGTCCAGAGGTGGTTGCCCGTTTGTACCCTCTCTGAGAAGACTATGTTACCTAAGCTCGTTCAAGAGTGGCTGCCAGTGATTGATTGACAGATATGCGTAGATATCCAAGTTGTCCATGGACACAGAACTTGGCTCTGAGCTAAGAGACTGGGACAGCATGTATACATGTGTGCCCAGCATTCATGTATGCATCAGCCGCAGCATGGAGGGTGTACTGCCTCCTGGCATGCCATAAATGAGTATATTGAGTTCTCCAAGACTGGGACATATGTCATATGCATCTGCAAGTAATCTGCATAGGGAGGGGGGCGGGCAAAGTGAGAACCCTCTGTCTCAGCTGTTGGTGAAGAGACCGCCTTATAGCCAGCTTCAACAGTTAGGGTATGTTGGACACAGAGGGTCAAGTGGTGTTGGCACTCACATCTCTGTCCTACCCTCAGTCCCTTTGCTTGTGTTCATTCAGAGCTCATGGCTGGTGAGACTGACAGTTATACACCATCTATAGCCACCCTTTATATCTGCCCAAACAGGAGCAGAGCAGAGCCCTGCACTTAGCCAAACAGAAGGGGAATGGCAGCCAAGCCTTCAAGATTTCTTCCCCACTGTGATGGTTAATTTTAACTGTCAATTTGACAGACCCTTGAATCACCTGAGAGAGGGGTCATTGGGTGAAGGGTCCTAGACTATACAGAATGGAGCTGAGAACTAGTATTTCATGGCTCTTGCCTTTTAATTGTAAATGTGACGTGACCAGCTGCTTCAAATTCCTGCCACCAAGGCTTTCCCAGGGTAAACCCTCGATGTGTGTTTGTCAGGATATTGCATCATAGCAACAGGAAAAGAAACTAAGATACTCATCCACTGCTGGTTCTTCCCTAGGCCTGGGTCTATAAGTCAAGGACAGTCTTCTCCCCGGAGGATTCTAGGCCAGAAAGTCACCAAATGGCCTCCTGAGGCCCAAGCTAGATGGCTGAGAGGGCACAAGTACTTTGGAAGGGGCGAAGTCCCAGGCCCCAGGTCCCAAGGCATCCTGCAGGTCAGCTCTGTGGGGTCCACACACCTAAGTTCTCCATGCAGCTCAGTATCACGTGGCTGGGGCTCTCTGCCAGCACATTTAGACTTTCCTTGGTTCAGTGGCCATGTCCTATAGAGGGACACTGGCAGGCTTCCCAGACCCTCCCTACTGGTGGAAAAGGACCCAGTTAGCCTGTCAGAGCATTCTCAGGCCAAGGACCAGGTACCACACCCCAGGTTGGGATCTGATTTCCATTGTGCCCTTTGCCTTGGAGCAAGAAGCAAGAGGAGGAAGGGCAGAGAAACCCCTGCCACCACACAGTGCCCAATCCGGGTACCTCTCCTCACCTTCCTTCCCTCCCTGGCTGTCACCAAGGGCTTTTCTCAGAGGAAGCTGAGGTAGAGATGGTGGCCAAAGACCAGCTCAGGTGCTGGGAACCAGTTTTTCCAAGGTGGGTTGTGTGTACTGAGTAGGCCTCTAGCTGACTGGGCCTTTGGTATTTAGCCATAAAATGGAGTTAGCAATGTCTACATCACAGGATTTGGACAACTTACATCTTAGCAGAAAACAAACTATTTTTTTTTGTTTTGAGACAGGGTCAGAGTATGTAGTCCAGGTTGATCCCAACACATGATTGCCCTACCCGTCCCAACACATGATTGTCCTACCTGTCTCCTGAGCACTGGACTCATAAGTAAACACTACCCCAGCCACCCCAGAAAACGGTCAAAAGAATGAATTTCTGATAGATGAGTTTCAAGTCTCAGGCAAAGATAAGGATTAAGAATTCAGATGGCAAAGCCAGGCTCCTTCCTGAGGCCACTCTTTCATACAGACAGGACACTGCCTGCTAAAAGCCCCATGTTTGCATGGGTACCTCTTCCTGTCTCTGGCTGGGCTGTCCATGTTCAGGAGATAGGGAGATTGTGAGTCAGTCCTTCTTTCCTGAGCCAGCTGCCGTAGGTTTCTCCACACTGGGAGATCAGTATTCTGTCCCCATTAACAGGGTAAACAAAGGCTCCTAGAGGTGCTACACTTCTGAGCACAGACTATGTGAGACAGTGTGTGTGTGTGTGTGTGTGTGTGTATCTTTCTCTCTGTCTCTGTCTCTGTCTGTCTGTCTGTCTGTCTGTCTGTCTGTCTGTCTCTCTCTGTGTGTGTGTGTGTGTGTGTGTGTGTGCAGGTAGCAGGTGGTGTGCACATGTGATATGTATGACTGTGGAAGCCAGGTATCAGTCTCAGGCATTCTTCAAGAGCTGTTCACCTTGCTTTATGAGACCGGGTTTCTCATTGGTATCTGGGGCTCACTAAAGAGGTTAGGCTGGATGGCCATCAGCTCTAGGTAGCTGGCTACCTGTCTGCCACCTATCTCCCTGTCCCCAGTGCCGGGATTATAAGTGAACCTTTTTTTTTTTTTCCGAGACAGGGTTTCTCTGTATTGTTTTGGAGCCTGTCCTGGAACTTGCTCTGTAGTCCAGGCTGGTCTCAAACTCACAGAGATCTGCCTGCCTCTGCCTCCCGAGTTCTGGAATTAAAGGTGTGCACCACCAACGCCCGGCTGTTACTAAGGTCTTTGCGCTTGCAAGATGAGCATTTTGCCCAGATGGCCTATTTCCCCAGTCCCAAAGGTATCATTTAAACCCAGGATTTCTTGACTCCAAAGTCTTTGCATCCAAAAGACAATGTCCTCCAGTGCTGCCTGTCTGGGCTGTGGCTCTCAGTACTAGTTCAGGGGACATCTTAGTTTCAAGAAATCTGAGGTCCCTCCTGGGAAGCTGTCTGCCCCACGGTACCCCTTCACCTTCTGTGTGAATGGCCTTTCTACACCTTGCTGCTTGCTCCCAGGTACTCAAGCCATAGGTTGTGTTGGGGTCAGATGTCATCCAGCCATGAGCCCTGTTCCCATCTCAGAATACTATCAGTGGGTCCAGAGGGCAAGACAAGGCACATGGAGGAGGGAGGAGCAAAGGCCTTGGGCTTAGCCTGATCTTTGTCCGTCTCTCACGAACGCCTGTCCAGGCACAGCAGAGGAGACTGCTGGGAGCACAGTGGTGGGTGGACGTCTGAGGTGGCGGTCTAGGGGGGCCATGTGACCTTCACTCTGCCACTGCCCATCTATGACCGCACCAGACTCCCCATTCCATTCTACACTTTCAAGAGGCCTCTGCCAAGAGCCTGTCACTGGCTCCAGGCTATTGTCTGGGCTTGGGGGTGAGGGGTGGGGGGCGGGGAGTCTGGAAGGTCAGTGTGAAGGGCTAAAACATGTCTTAGGCCTGAGGCTTGTCCCCTGAGCCTTTTCCCATCTTACCAGCCTCGTCTAGGGAAGCCAGTAGCTGAGCCCTTGGCTGTGGAGCTGGAGGTGAATACCATGGGCAATCTCAGAGGGATTTCTCAATTCCTCTGGCAGCTGGCTGCATGGCCTCCCTGCCTCAGGCTCTGGTCTGAACTGCTCATCAGGTGACCTTTGCCCAGCTCACTGGGCCTTCTGTGCCCGCTGTCCCATCCTGGGGCCCATATAAAACGGGTCAGGGCCCTCCCGAGTGCCTGCTCAGTTTATCCCTAGAAGCAGCTAGCTTCTCCAGGTAATGCCCCTGGGGAGGACAGGAAGGGAGGGAGGGAGGGAGGGGACAGAGAGCCAGAGGAAGCCTTTGCCACCCAGCTAGCTAGCGGATGGAAGTCTTGGGATCCATGAATAGCCTCCACCCTTGGGTTCCTGGTGGGTGAGGGAAGGCTAAAGGCTGAGGAAGGGGAGGCCAAAAGCCCCGCACTGGGTATTGTCAGAGCTGAAGGAATGGGTCACGCTGTCTCTTGGTTAGCATGCTTAGAGCTATTGGAAGCCTTTGTTATCGATGTCTACTTTAGACAGAAACAATGAGGTCTAGAGCGGAACAGAAACCTGATGTCAGCTAACACGTCGGGGGCCGAGGGTCGGTAGATGTCCCATTCTAAGAAGGGTTTCTACACGCCACCTTTCACCCTGCCTTGGGACCTGGATTTCCTATAGTTCCCTGTCTGAAAGCTGATATCAGTAGGAGAAAGGCTCGGGATTCATCCAAGAGCCCATGGCATTCTCCAGGGAAAGACCTCCGTGTGGCAGGTCCTCCCACAGCATCCCCTCACAAGACAATTTCCTTCAGGTGCGTTGGTGCCATGCAGCCCCGGACGCTCCTCATTGTTGCCCTCTTGGCACTCCTGGCATCTGCCCGTGAGTTTTTTGGGGGGTTGGGCCTGGGGTTTCTGTGGGAGCTGGTCTGGGGACCCTGCCCTGGTAAGTAGTGCCCGGGTAGGAGCTGAGAGCTGCCATGGCTCAACTCTGCTCTTTTGCAGGAGCTAATGAGGTAGAGGGGTCCTTGCTGCTGGGCTCTGTGCAGGGCTACATGGAACAGGCCACCAAGAAGGTCCAGGATGCGCTAACCAGCATGCAAAAGTCTGAGGTGGCTGTGCGGGCCAGGTATGCTCACTGGTCCTCTTTTCTGGTTCCCTCTCCCCTCACCCCTGCCCTAGTCCTGAGACTCCCACACAGGGACTGCGGCTCCCCAAGTTTACTCAGGTTCTAGGCCTGTCTCAGCCTCCGCTCTGTTATGGGGCCTTTGCTGGGTACTGTGACTGAGGTGAGAAGCAGAGCCTTTTTCTGTCTCCTCCACTTCTCAGAGCAGCCTGAGGTGCATAGAGTCCTTGCTGCAAGTTTTCTTCTCTAGAGGCTTGCTTGGGGAGGCCTACCTGCTCTAGTCTCAGCCCTGTGTTTCAGGGCTCCGCCCCAGGCCCGATCTGAGTTAGACATCTGCCCACTATGGGCTGTCACCCCTGCCCCCCCCAATGGCTTTGGCTGACATTTGATATTGACCTATGTAGCAAAAGATGTTGACAAATGTTCTTTGTCCCCAGGGCAGGATGTGGAGAGGGTATTATTTCTCCAACTTTGCAGATGAGAAACCTGGCTCAGAACAGTTAGGTGACCTGGCCTAGGTCATGCAACTCATGGGTCCTCCAGTAATTTTTCCAGTGAGAGGCTGCCCCCCTCTGCCCCACACATTCAGAGTCACCAAATGGGACACCTCCAGGATACTATTTTTATGGACTACAAAGGCAGACCTTAAGAATCAGCCCCCCAGTGCCCAGTGCCTCAGGCGTGAAAGGGAGTTTATTGGGGGGCAGCCATAAAGGTCTGTCTGATCCCACCTGGATGAAGGTGGGGTTTCTTAGGCTGCCCCTGTACCTCCTTTGCCATCTTGTCTGCGCAGGCGATTCTAGGGTGGTGCTAGGCGAAGTGGTTCTGATGACTTGGAGAGCTAGGAGGGCCCTGGGTGCGGGTACAGGGGAGCTTTTCACACACACCTCTATGGATGCCTCTTACTGCTTTAACCTCCAGGGACTGGATGGACGGTGGCTTCACCTCCCTGAAAAGCTACTGGAGCACATTTACTGACACGGTCTCCAGCCTCTGGGATTCTTCCCCCAAGGCCCTACCAGCCCCAGCTACTGAGCCTTGAGACCTCTACGTTCCAAATGTGCTTGTGTGTCCATCCTGCTGGCCTCTGGGCCTGGGTGGCCCCTGAAGGTTGTTTGAAAGGGAAAGTATTGTCATGTTTTCATCCCTCCCCAGAAGTCACCTAAACATGCTGCACCTAATAAAGCTGGACAAGAAGATGCCATGAGTGGGGGTGTCCCATGTACCATGATGTCTGGGCATGGGGATGTGTAGACCTGGGGCTGTATCTCCCCCCATCTCTTTACTTGTCTCTGGGACATTTCTTTCTTTGTAAGCAGAACTAGCTCTGCTTCCCTGCTTTGCCTTGATGTGTTTATGTAAGAGACCGAATCAGATAACAGTCTTGCAATCACAGTCTGTGGCTAACTGTCAAGTGTAGGACAGTGTGGACAATGGAGGACAATGAGTGTGGATTCTGACCAGCTAGTACTTTTATGTCATCTTCAGTGTTGAGGTCAGATGTGATCACAAAACCTGCGCAGCTGGCTCGCATGGTCCAGGCTGCCTGGTCCCTTGAAACATACTGGAAGGAAGGAGGGGAGATGGGAGCCTGGTTGGCTAAGTCTTGACCTCACTGTGGGTACCGTCTGCCCTTCCACAGCAAAAAGTGGGTACTGTCTGCCCTTCCACAGCAGGTTTGCTGTGGCCATGAAACAGCAGTGTTCAAAAGCATGTGACATGCACCTGCACAGCCCAGGAGCCTGATGAACAGTCTTCTTTGTGATAGCTAAACTAGCTAACCTTGTAGATGGAAATGGAGACCCAGTGTCCTCAGAATCCCAACAGGGTTGTTGACTGTGTTCCCACCATCCAGAAGCACTCACTTCAGAGAAATCCAGGGTCACAAAACAGGTCTCCCACACTAGCGAATAAAAGACCTATTCTGAAGGAGGTGGCGGGAATCCCTTGGTTTAAGAGCAAGCACACTGCAGGGCCAGCTGTCCATTTTCTCCTTTGTTGTCACGGGGAAAGGCTCCGCCAGGCATCAGAGGCTCTTTTCTGGACGTCACTGGTGTAACCAGCCACCTAGACTGTGTTCTCTCGGGAAACCCATCAGGGGCTTCTCTTCCTGACCACCCAGAGCCTGCAGTGCCAGTGTCCGAATCTGGAAAGCTTCCCACCCAAACCTGGCTCGATACCTGTCATAGCTCTGTGGGATTAGGGATTTAAAAGCCCACCCCCTCATCCAGGGGCTGATGGAGATGCATCGGGAAGACCACATGCATATGGGCTTGAGGAAGAGCCAGCCGAGTGAGAGGAAGGCGGTTGGTGTGCATACATCCTCACCCGTGTAGACATTACTGGTTGGTTACATTAATTTTTTTAAGTAATTGTGTGTGCCCGTGGCATGCTGGTCTAAATATCTGGGGCTTGGTACGTGGATTGCTTGCCTGGCATGCACAGAGCTCTGGGTTTGAGCCCCAGCACTGAATGAAGTTGGTGTGGTGCTACATCCTTGTAACTTGGGAGATGGAGGCTGGAAGAAGATGAAAAGTTAAAGATTTGCTGCACAATGAGTTTGAGGCCAGCCTTGGCCATCAGAGACACTGTCTTAAAATAAAATGAATAAGTAACTAAATAAGGACTGGGAGGATGGTTCAGGTGGTAAAGGCATTTGCTATACTAATCCCGGAGGCCTGAGTGCAGTCTTTGGGACTCACATGGAGAAAGAGAACTGACTCCTGCAAGATGTCCTCTGATCTCTGCATGTGTTCTGCAGCACACGAAAATCCACACATATTTAAAATAAATGTACTGACACTTTAAATTGTGTGTGTGTGTGTGTGTGTGTGCCTCCCAAGTACTGAATTCAGGTCATCTGGCTTGGTGGAAATTGCCTCTACCTAATGAGTCACCTTACCAGCCCAATGTAATAAAAGTTTTGTTTTGTGTTTCAAGACAGGGTTTCTCTATGTAGCCCTGGCTGTCCTGGCTCTGTAGACCATGCTGGCCTCAAACTCACTGAGATCCACTTGCCTCTGCCTCCCGAGTGCTGGGACTAAAGTCCTGTGACAGCACCGCTGGTAAAAAAAATTTTGTTTTGTTTTAAAGAACAACACATCCTGTCCCACCTTTCTTCGCTAAGTTCAGCGTCAGCTTCCCAGGCTGACACAGACCTAAGGACCATCATTCGCCATTTGGAGATGGATATGAAGGCCTCTCTAATAACTGTGGGGATCAGCATCATGAAGTGTTTTTTGCCCATCTGGCAGGTAGAGTGACTACAGCCAGTTGCCTTTCACAGTGGGCCAGTCTTTGGGTGGGGAGATGACTGTGTGGGAATCTTGCCGAGGGAAAAGGAGAAGTGTTTGCTGAGGGGTTTGGGATTTGTAAATGAGAGAGGATTAGGCTCCAGTCATTTTATCAGCACTTGGCCAATAATTCAAGTCTCTGCATCCTTAAGGTATCCTGGCTCTAGGGAGTGGAAGATGCCTGCAACCGTGGCCCAGGTGGACCCCACGTGGGAACACTTCCAGCACAGGAAACCTGTCCGCTCAAAGCCAGTTCTTTCCCCAGCCACTCCCAATCTGGGCTACAGCACTGGTGGTTTGAGCCTCTGTGGGGTACTTTTCAAGGGGCTCTCTGTTACTTTGCCTGGTCATCTATTTCCCTCCGAACCTTCTTAGGACAGGGATTCTGTCTCACACTCGTAACCATATGTGCCCAGCTTGAGTGAGTTTGGAGAGCTGAGGAGTCCTGTATGAAGGAATCCCCACTGCAACACCGAGTTCCCGAGTCCCTGGATGTTCCTTTAGTGCTCTCCCTGTGCTCCCCAAAGAAAGAAGCCATCCCACTTTGGAAAGGTTTATTCTAAGAAAGCCAATGTAGGGGTGGGGTATGAAGATGGGAGCCTCACTGGGCATTCAGCTTCTTGCTGGCTTCCTCGACCATACTCATTATTCTGGTCTTAAAGCTCTCAAACACGGGCATCAGGCCCTGGCGCAGGTCCTCCAGAGCGGGTTTGGCCTTCTCGCCGAACGCCTTCAGATGGTCAGCGGCCTTGGTGTGGTACTCAGCCAGGGTGGGGCTGTCCTTGAGTTGGGCCAGGCGCTCAGCCAGGCGGTCGCGCATTTGGTCGCTGTAGGGCGTCATCTTTGTGCGCAGAGCGTCAACGTGGTGGCGCATGCGGTCACGAAGATCCTCGCCCAGAGGGGTTAGCTTCTCCTGCAGCTCCTGCAGCTTCTGGCGCGCACCATCGCGCAGCTCGGCGCCCAGAGGCTCCATCTTCTGGCGGTAAAGAGCCACTTCCTCCTGCCACTTGGTCTGGAATTGGTCCAGATAGGGCTGCACCTTCGCCTTCACCTCCTCCAGGTCCTTGTTCATCTCCCGCCTCAGCCATTCTGTCTCCTTTTCCAGGTTATCCCAGAACTCCTGAGTCACTGGGCCCAGCTGTTCCTGCAGGCGACCAACGGTTGAGCCCAGGGTGTCCCAGTTCTCCAGGAGATTCAGGCTGAAGGAGGAGAGAGCAGCTGAGAACCGGCCCCAGGCATCCTGCACTGCCCCAGGTCTAGGTGCAGTCCTGGGTACCACCCATCTCCGAACATAGTTTCCTCGAACACGCACCCCTCTAACGCCCTACCCTTCCTCCACATCCCTCTGTACACATGGCCTGGGGTACCAAGGATGCCTGCCTGGCCAGTTCCCTTTCTGTGCTGGCTGACCGGTTACTAGAGGTAACCCAGGGGAAGGGACTTGCACACTCATAGGCAGAAAGAGGGGTTGTGGTTACCCACCACCCAGGTGAGTCCCGTCCCTGTTCCTCCATTGGACCCTGCCATGGTGCCCAGATGGTAGGAGAGCAGGTCAGTTACATCATCTTTTCACAGGCCTCTTTGCCCACCCGGGATGGACAACCCTTGCCCGGCTCCAGGCCCCAGGCTGGCTTCTCCCTTACTTCAGCTGCTTGCCCAGGGCGGAGGTTTCAAACTGAGACACATATTCTCTGCCGCTGTCTTTCACCGCATCCACATACACAGTGGCGAAATCCTTCACTCTGTCCCATGGGGTCTGGGGGTCATCTCGCTGCCAGAAGTGCCGAGCCTGGCTTCCTGGGGACGGAGGGGGAGACCCGAGTCAGGCCAGCTCTGGGCTGGGGTCTGAGCTGCAGTCGGGCTTGGAATCGGGGAGGAGACCAGAGAGAATTCTGTTCTCTGTGCCCAGGAAGGTAGGCCATGGAGGCGGAAGCAGAAGCCCACCGCTCCCGGATTGTTGCCTCCCCAGACTGGAGGCACCTACCGGTCAGGAAGAGCACAGCCACGGCCAGCACTACAGTTTTCATCCTGAACGGTGTGGGTGACCTGAGGGTTAGAATTGCCGAGCTGAAGGGGGGCTCTGTCACGGAGAAGTCCCACACTTGCACCCCACCTTTAAGCCATGGAAGGAGGAGGATCTAGAGCGGGAAAAGGTCCCAGAAACCCAGAGTGGGTGAGGCATTAGGGAGCCAGAGTAGCTTAGGGCAGGTAGCAGCACTTACCTCCCTGGAGTTCTCCAATAGTCTCTGAGTGCCCCACTCTTGTTCCCTGGCCTATTTATGTCTGGAGGCAGGGGCTGGGCAGGAAGGCTGATAAGCCCAACCCTGGCCCTGTCCCTGCTTACTAGTCCTGACGATGTGGAACTTAGAGTTCAAGGATCAGCTGTGTTCCTGAGGCTGGGCAAACAGAGTGGGCAAACAGGAAGCTGCGGGGGCTGCGGAGCTGGGATCAAGGGTTCAGGAGGAGGAAGCAGGGGAGTGGCGGCAGACTCAGGGGGTCCCCAGGGTTAAGACCTCTGCTCCATCCTCCTTCCTGTACGCCTGTGTTGCTGTTGTCCTCTGAGCCTGGAGTAGGGTTGGGGTAGGAACTTTGGGCTAGTACGCTCACATTCCGCCCCAAAGTTTTCTTGCATTACAAGAAGTTGGTCCTGGTTCCCCGGGTAGGGTATGCCTGTCTCAAGACGCCACATGCCTGATTGGCTTCCCATTCCTAAATCCAAGAACAGCCGAGGTACCAGGAAATTGCCTGGGAGAAATGCAGAGGGGCTCAGGATGAAGACCTGTTTGACACTTCAGAAGACATGAGGCCAGTATGGAGTAGTCAGCTCCTTCCTCCTCCCTCCCTCCCCCTCCCTTTCTTCCTTTTGGAGCCAAGGTCTTTCTGTGTAGCTCAAGCCTACCTCCCACTCAAGACATCCTGCTACATCCTTCCAAGCGCTAGAATATGGCACGAAGCCTAGATTTAAACTGTGTGTGAGGCTGGGCAGTGGTGGCACTCTCCCAGCACTTGGGAGGCAGAGGCAGGTGGATCTCTGTGAGTTCGAGGCCAGCCTGGTCTACAAATCAAGTTCCAGGACAGCCAGGACTGTTACCCTGTCTCAAAAAAAAAAAAAAAAAAAAGAAAGAAAGAAAGAAAGAAAGAAAGAAAGAAAGAAAAAAACGTGTGTATGTGTAAAAATTGCTGGGGATGGAAACCAAGGCCTGCACATGCTAGTCCAGGAGTCTATTATTGTTTCATCACAGACCTTAGCACTGCCAAGGTTTTTGTTATGTGTAGATGTTACACAGCCTCCTCTCCAAAGACAACCTCACCATCTGCCATGGCCACCAAAAGGGCTGGTGTAGTTCAACTATGCTACATCTCCCCAGAGTGCTAAGGGTCTAGGCTCAATTCCCAGTATGGATGATTTGGGGAGCTGAGTATGGTGGTCCATGTCTTCAATTCTTGCAAGAGGGTTCAAAACCAGCTATGGCTACATAGCAAGTTTGAGGTCAGCCTGGGCTACATGGGACTATCTTAAAACAACAAAAAACCCAGATCATCCAGGAAACTTCATCATGGAACCTGTGAATTTCTAAGCTAAAAGGAACTTTTGAGACCATCTGCTGGGGCCTCACCTGTGAAGTTGTTTCGAGATGGGGAGCTGGCGAATGTGAAAGGAATTTGCTGTGTCCCACATCTCCCAGCCTTGGAGGCAGGGCAGGGATGGACCTTGAGCCCAGGTCTCTGCACTTTGGATCCAGGGCAGGCATGTGCTCTGCCCATCTTCCTAGGAAACTCCCCAACTCTCTAGAAACCAGCCAGGAGTCTCTACCAGTTCTGGGAGTTTCTGGGTTCCAGGCCACTCCCATCCCAGGAGGCTTTGGAACCAGAGAGAACCTTGGTTTGAACCTGGGCTCTGCTACTATTCTCAGGGTGACCTGGGTGAGTTACATAACCTCCTACCCCTGGGTTCTTATCTGCTAGGTGAAGATAATGACAGGACACACCATGCCTTCGTTATGATCCCAGTCACTGTGTGAGAAGCAGAACGACAGGATGGAGAAGATGAGTGTACATTTCCTCATGCCAGGAACCCATGCCTGTTGGCTGACATGGAAAAATGCGATTAAGGGACTTGAGCCTGGGGTATCCATCCAGAGGGCACAGTAATCACAGAGGTTCTTTAACACGCAAGAGGAGGCTGGAGAACAGGAACAGGGTAGACGCTGTGAGTGCTGGCCACAGTGATGAGTCAAGGGGCATTGGATGCTGGCAGAGGTGAAGGCGCACATTTTTCTGAATGAAAACTCAGAAGCTTTCAGAGGGAACACCACTCTGCCATGTTTTTAGGCATGGTTTAAACTTCTCAACTCCGGAGCTCTAAGATACTTGTGCTAACCATGAAACTCGAACATGTGTACAAAACTGTTGAAAGGTAACCAGCATGTGTTCTGTGTCCCAGAATCCTCATTTTACTGCCATGGACACATTTGCATTACTAAGCCACATCCTGTGACCCTGGCTGCTGGCAACAGAAATGGGGCAAGGCAGGTGCCTGGCTTGCAGGCGCTGTGATGCAGGACATCTTTTCCAGGACGAAACCAGTCCCATATGTCTGTGGGAGCATGCAGAGGGAGGTGGCCTGCTTGAGAGAACGATGAAGGCTGCCCCAACAGGAGCAGCTTCCTAGATCTTTTCGGGGTTGGGGCAGGAATCTGAGCAGCTGACCTGTTGGCTTCCAGCCTGCTCTCCAGTATTACCTTTCCCTTTGGCTCATTACTGAAATCATGGTGGCTAACTGCTCAAGCCTAACATTTGCTCAGGTTGTCAACTGGATTTCAGCTAACTTGAGACATCTCGTAACTCTGGAGGCCAGGTTTTCTCCCTTGGTATTTTGCCTGTCAGAAAACTGCAGCTCAGAGCTGCTAAGGGCATTCTTGCCCCTCAGCCTTGAGATGGTGCCCCTGGGGCTGGAAGTCAGGTCTGGCTTCTAGTTCTCTCTGATGGTGGCTTCTTGACTTCTGAAGCCTTCATCTTCTTTTCAGGGACATGCCTGGCTCAGGGATTAGAATCCACAACATCAGAGTAGAGAACTCTGGAAAAACCTGTTACTGAGCAGTGTGTTCCTGTCTTGGTATGTAGCCCAGGCTGGTCTCAAACTTGGGGTGATCCTGCCTTGGCTTTCTGTGCTGAAGTTACAAGTGTATATCATCATGCCCACTTTCCTCCCCCACCCCCTCCATACTAACCTGCTAGTGTCAGTCACTTTATCACAAGACACAATTGGATTAAAGTAGTCTAAATAGTGCCTCACTATTCTGGACAGGAAGTCCTTCTGGGCAGATCAACAATAAAATGGGGTCATCATAAATTGAGACCTGGGTTGGCCACTGTTAGGTGTTGGGTGGCCAGGGTTGGTCCAGGGAGTGGAGACAATGCCCGACATTATGGTTTCTACCACCACCCTCACTCCCTCATCTTGGGAGTCTCCAAACTGACTTCTGAATTGGGCAAGTGCTGGCTTGGGATCCCCTAACACTCGTGGGAGTGTTGGCAGCTTCAGGAGCCATGAATGTAGCCCATTTCACAATGTCTGTCTCAACACAGCAGATCATCTGCACAGGGCAATGTAGGTACTCTGTCCTTGGCTGGGCCTGGCACCAGAGACTTGCCAAACATTCACTGGATGAATGGCACTGGTACACTAAAGGTTCTCAGACTGGCAAAGGGTCACAGGAAGGCACAGGCCTTCACTGGTGGCAGCCCCTTCTGGAATATGTACCCAGTAAGAAATGGTGTTGGCAGGAACGGGGAGCTGGGTCTGGGGTCTCCCTAAGCAGCTGAATTCCCAAGGTTTCTTGATTGACAGCCCTGTTACAGAGAGGGCACTGTCACCAACTCTGCATATTGCTCCTGCCTCCTGCTCAGGAGACTAAGGATTTTGTGGTTGAGTGGGTGGGGCCTGGCATCAGCACACAGTCAGTCAGAAAGTCTTCTTCCCTGAGCCCAGAGACGTCCAGGTTTACTTCCAGGAGAGTGAATCCTGTTGCCCTGGATACCCACCCTACCTCTAGCTGAAGGCACCTGGTGACTTTGCCAAGGCAGCACCTGTGGCCAAAGGTGTACTGACTACTTGGGAGTCCTTAGAGCCCATCACTGGCTCCAAGCACAGCTCACCTCAAGCAGCAGTGTGTACTTCAGGCTCTTGGGGGCTCGCCTGAGATGGCATCCTCTGCTCTCAACAATCCCATCGCCAACTCCTAAGTGCCCGCCTCAAAACATTTTTATCTGTAGGAGTGTATGGCGTCTGGATACGGACACCTGAGGAGTTGTCGGGTCCCTGGAACTGGAGCTCTGGGTGGTGTGAGCTGCAGGAAGTTGTGTTCTTTACCAGTCAACCATCCCCCAGCCTCCTCACCCTTTCTGAATGCTCCGTATCCCCAAAGTCAGAGCTGTCTTCTCACAGGACTTTAGCCCTCCCTGCTGTGCCCGGGACCTGCTGGGAATTCTGCCCTTTACTGGAACCCAGGAGCAGACAGAGGGAAACAGTAGGAAAAGCCCCTTTCTGGCCTGTGCTTGAGTAGCTCATGATTCCGCTGACTGAGGTCACCTCAACTATGTTCCATTCAGGGTCAACTCAAGGTTCTCCCTCCTGGAGACCCAACTCTGCAAACACAAATGTGTCCCTTCTGAGGGGTCAGAGTCCACGTGAATGTCTGGGGCACAGTGTGAGGCTGACTTGCAGGCTCAGAAGGCAAGGTGAGGGAGGACCATCACAGCCCCAACCCACAGCTGGGGATTTCTCCAGATAACTGTGTCCCTCCATCCCCACCCCATCTGCTTCCCTCAGCTAGACTCTCAACTGTAAGGCAAACAACATATCAGTGTTAGAACATAATAAGTTTTTATTTCCACAACCTCCTACTGTCCAACCAAGTTACTAAGTTGTAAATGTCCCACACAAACAAGGACAAAATGTCTTAGCAACTTGAACCTGGAGATTTTTGTTAAGCCTTTTTTTTTAAGTTTAACAGAAATGAAAAAGAAAAAATACTTCTTACATTTTCAAAGAACAGAAATAGCAAAGTATATTCATATACATTCAACATATTGCGCATATTGGTTACTACAATATAAAGCAATGGTGATCTTGAAAATAGATTGCAAGATGGCACGGTTAATAGGCTCACTGGTTTTCATTCTGGGTGGCTCTGGAGGGTGGCATCTGCTCTTCCATCAATCCAGTACCATGTAAACAGGTCAGGCTGAG